ACGTCGTTGCCAGGCGACGAAAACCCAACCCCGATGGCAAACACCGAGGCCTGGGGGAGGGGGGGGTACGATACGTTAAATATTTTTTCTCATGTTGTTTGTGCTCCACCTTTTTCTCTCCAGGGCCGGTGTTGACTCCCAAATTATCCTCTTCGTGTTCCTGCCGATCCTGATCTTCGAGTCGGCCTTCGAGACGGACGTACACATCTTCCAGCGGGAGTTCTGGCAGGCAAGCAGGAGTTCATTTGTGTATTCTGGTGGCACGTCTTCTCCGTGGTAACGCGTTTTTTTTTCCGACAATGTTCATGTAGTCACAGAGAGTACTGTACCCGTTCTACATATGATCACAGCAGTAGTCGAAGGCGGGTATGTTGGAGTCTTACAGGGAGTGGGAAGGAAACCGGCTGGATCCCGGGCTAAGCTAAGGTTGAGTCTACTTCAAGCCTACACGCTGAATTATCATCAGAGATGGTTTGTTTGATGATGCTTTGCAAGCAGGTGTGTTGTATGGGAAGTTTCCGGAGTTTGTCCTGAATTCGCTTTTGCTTTCGTCTGCCTTTTTTTTTGCGGGGGGGAGAGGCGCTCGGTTTGCTCGTGGCCGAATGAGTGAATACTAATGCTCCTTTCCACTAGGAAAACCCGTCCACGGGCTCGGTCCCATTTACCGTGCTCGTTCTATTTTGTTCCTATTTTTCTTACAAATTTGCTCTAATCTCGTTGTTTCTTTTTGTTGCTTCTGCTTTTTTGTCGTGGCGAAAATGTATGTTTGTATACAACGGGGGCAGGTTGTGACTCTTGCTGGCCCGGGAGTGGCGATCGCTACCGTCATCACGGCCGGCATCGTCAAGTACGTCTTCCCCTATGGGTGGGACTGGAACCTGTCGCTCATGCTCGGGGGCATCCTCAGCGCAACAGACCCCGTCGCGGTGGTCGCCTTGCTCAAGGACCTAGGTCAGGGGGGGTTGGCGTACAACGGGTTGGGGGGGGGGTAGATGGTGTTGGGCTGTTTGTCGTGCTTGCAATGTGATTTGTTTGTGTTTACCCTTGTGTGGTCTTCCTGTCGTCCTGCGTGCTCCCTGGTCGAGAGAGTTTTCTTTCATGACGGAGTTGACTTGTTGGATGGCGTCGGAGACTTGTTTAGGTGTCGGTGCTGACGCGTGGTGACGATGAGAGTTTGCTGTCGATAGTGTTGCTGCTGCTGCTGCTGCTGCTGTTGCTGCTGCTTCGAGATACGATGTGCTGGCCTTGCGCCATCTGCTATATCGGTGCTGGTGCGCCCCCTCGCAGGCACCCCCTTCTCTCCAAACCGCCATCCCTGCTCCTTCCTGCCATCACTATCGCTGCTATCCAGAACTCCTTCGCTTAACATGCGTACTTGCTTGTTTGCAAGTAGTACAAGACCAAGACCAACTAGCTGGTCATGTCTCGATGAGCGAACGACTGAACGGACGAGTTAACCGAACGAACGAACGAACGAACGAACGAACGAACCGGCCAGGTGTTTCCGAGCGGCTGAACGTGTTGATCGAGGGGGAGTCGTTGCTGAACGACGCCACGGGTATCGTGGTGTTCATCGTGTTCCGAGACGCGTTCGTGGGCGTGGCCGACAGCAGCCCGGCGCAGGTGCTGGTGACGGCTGTGCGCATGTCCTTCGGCGGTAAGTGTTGGCCCTTCTTCTGTGTTTTTCTTTTGTTTTTTTATTGTCTCGTTTTTGTGTTTTTGCTTCCCTTTCTCGTGTTCGCGTTCACAAGAAGGTGGACCGTTTCCATTGGCAGAGGGTTCTTAAACCACGAGGAGGCGGATGCTTATTTTGTCGTCTGAACCATACTTCTAGCGTCCATGATAATCAGTCTGAGTCCTTAGACTTTGAACAGATGCGTAATTTTTTCTTTTTTGTTTGTTGAGTTTCGCTGGACTCTTCTTCGAGTCAAATATACGTGAGCTGTGTGAGAGCTGTTGGAGCTTGGAAAACGTCACTGATGGCGCTGGCAGCTTATCCACACCAACACATGGTTATGGTTTACATCTTGCATCACGCCTTCATGGCATTATTTATTACTATGCTCTGATGAGCCCACTCCGGAGGCGCGGCTTGTGTGTAGCAGGTTTTTGTTTGTCGGCAGTTTCACCGTGAGTCAATTAGCTGATCGAAGATCATTAGACCAGTCCGCGAGCGACGGCTGTGACTTGAGATAGTGGTCATGATGTGGTTGTAACATTGACAAGGTTTGTCTTCCTCCCTCTCTCTCTCTTTCTTTCTCTATACCCCCACCCTGGTTCTTCATTCGTTCATCAAGGCCCTATGGTCGGCCTAGCATTGGGCATGTTCGGCTCCTTCTTGCTGGGATACATCATCGACGACGCGATGACCGAGATCACGGTGACCGTCATCGTCTGCTTCAGTTCCTTCATCATCTCCGAAGCTACCACGGTACGTGCCACGGTACATACGGTTCCCCATGACTCGGTGTATAGTACCTGCGTTCTTGAGGTTGCAGTCTAGATGCCGAATCCCTATTCTTTTCCTCCTTTCCAAGCAAGATCACCACCGTCCACCCTTGATAGCTAGATTCACAACATTCTCTGCACCGACCCACGCTCCACACCGCTCCCTTCGTGTGATGCCGCGTACTGTGACGTAATGGTCGTGATAACCGCAGCTGCACGTTTCGGGCGTGCTTGCGGCAGTGACGGCGGGGCTGGTGATGTCCTTCTACGCCGGCGGCCGCATCTCCCCCGGAGTGGAGCACTCGATGCACACCTTCTGGTCCATGGCGACGTACGTCGCCAACACGGTCATCTTCTTCGTCAGTGGTCTCATCATCGGCGACCAGGCCATCTTCAACGACACCCTGGGGGTGAGAGAGGGGGGGGGGAGCAGGAGAGGGAGCGGGAGGGAGGGAGAGGGAGGGAGGGAGAGAAAAGAGGGACAGCCAGAGGGAAAGAGAGGGAGAGAGAGGGAGGAGGGGGGGGCATTGACAGAGAGGCAGCCAGACCAGACAGAGGGAGTGAGAGAAAAAGAGAGAAAGAGAGAGAGACAGACAGAGAGAGAGGGGTGGTAAACACAGATGATCGAAAAAAACGCCCCCTTTGGTGATAAACGGCACACACAGCGGCCGCATGCTACGGTTCATCGATGCCAGTTCTCGCCCGTCTCGTCCGCCACGTCTGTCGTGAAGATGTAGTTTGTTCGGTTTTTATTTGTCAGCGTTTTTGCTCCCCCCACCTGCCTGGCGCCGCGTTTGTACTCTACTCTTTGAGTACCCTGCTGTGGTGCATCCAATGATCGTCCGTTATCAGGCCGCCTCCCTCTTGGCTTTCGTAGTACAGCTGTGTGGTGCATCCCATGACGTCGCATCGTCATTCCGAACTCTCTTTCCCCTTGTTTTTTGTCAGGGGCGTGAGTGGGGGCTGCTGGTGCTGCTGTACGTGCTGCTGCAGCTGGTCCGGTCGGTCGTGGTTCTCCTGCTCCTGCCCGTTCTGACGAAGTGGGGGTACGGCATGACCTACAGGCAGCTCATCGTGCTCGCCTTCGCCGGCCTCAGGGGTGAGACAGGCAGTACGCTCAAGAGAGATACATGGAGACAGAGACAGAGACAGAGACAGAGACAGGCAGACCAGAGAGAAGAGATAGATATAGAAACAGATAGACAGACAGACAGAAAGACAGGAGGGAGGAAGGGAGGGAGGGAGCAGGGCAAAGAGCCAGGGCCAGAGAGAGATATATATATATATAGAGAGAGAGAGATAGAGAGAGATAGATACCGAGGGAGGGGGGAGGACGGAGAGAGAAGGGCGGGGGCAATTTATGTTTTGGACGCCGATGACAAAGCGTAATCGTGTCTTGTTCGCTCTCTTTCGAGCAGCTCGTTCTTCTTGGTCTTAGGTCTGTCTCACAGGTTTCCAACTGTTCGGCGCTTTTGCGTGTTTTCCAACGACGTGTCTTAGTACACGGTTTGAGATGGGTTATCTACGTAACCCGGCGTGCTCCGTCCCTGCATTGTAGGGATGCGAGGTCAATGGTCTATCGGCTACGGCATGCACGACTATGAGTTACCCTCCTCTCTCAAGCAAGGATGACTACCAACCTCTGGTTCATCCCCGCGTAACGTAGCTTGCGCCGGCGAAAACCCGGCATTCGTTTACATTAGCATACACCTCCCTCTTTCTTTCACGGCTCCATCGTTTTCCTCCGCGTTCTGCCTCGAACTCAACTGTTTCTTTCTTCTTTCATCAGGAGCTGTGGGGCTTACCCTGGCCCTGATCGTGGTCGAAGACGACCGCTTCTCGGAGCACGTGAGAGACCTCGTGCTCTTCTACGTGGCGGGCATCGCGGCCCTAACTCTCATCATCAACGGGTCGCTCTGCGGATACCTCGTCTCCGCCTTGGGCCTCGACAGGCATGTGTTGTATGTTGTATGTTGCATTGTAACCGCCGTGGGGCTGCTGCTGCTGCTGCTGCTGCTGCCGTGGGTGGTAGTTATGGTCGTCATGATGTTGACGTCGGTGTTGTGTTGCTGCTGGGTTGGTTGGCCTTGGTGGTGCTGCTGTAGGTGGCGCTGTTGGTGTTGACGTTGGTGTTGACGTCGGTGTTGCTGTTGGTGCTCGTGCTGCTGTTTCTGCGATGGTCGTGGGTGTTTTTGGGCCATGCCGTTTTGGTCGGGAGAAAGTTATGGCGATTGCCTCCATGTTCTCTCCTTTGTGAATCTGTGTTGAAAGTCGTGGGTTATGGAGTTTTCGTGCTCTCCTGGTTGTGTTGTGGTATTGGTTTCGCCTTCTTTTTTTTTTTTCGTTAATTTTTCCGTTTTCTGTTATTTGTTTCCTGTTCTTTTTCCCCCCGTTCTAAAGGTCGACGACAGCGGAGACGGAGGTCTTCACGAAAGCGTGCTCGGCCATCGAAGCTCGTCTTGAGCACAAGGTGTGGCGTTCATCTAATCTTCCCGTTCAATTTTTCTTTTTTTCACACACACACACACACACACAGAAAAATGTAAGTGTAAATTTTATCCTGGGCAGGCGAAAACCCGGCATATCCCCCCATCCCGGCATGGTAGGGATGCGAGGTCAATGGTCTTAACAGCTAAGGCATGCACAGCGTGCGTACGCCCACCCCCGTGTGTGTGGACGAACGAGTTTTCTTTCACAATCGTAAGGCAATGATTGTCCACGATGGAAGATAGTAGTTGCGCTAACTGAAGGGCTACTACATGGCTTTCCGATAAGATTATTAGCCTCCACACGCGCCACACACGCCAGTTGGTATCGATGTCTGATCTTGTCCACGCTTGCCGATACGCCTTTGCGGGTTGTGATTTTTCTTGCGATGGTCTTGTGGAGAAACTTTTTTTTTGCCAAGGACCTACCGTTTGGTCTGTTGTAGACACGCGCCTATTCTCTCTCTTTTTCGGGGGTTGTCATGCTGTCCCTATTAAAGTTTTATTTTTTCACCGCTCCCACGCCCGTTTTTTTTTGTCGTTTTCCTTTTCTTGTGCTTTTCAACAGTTGGACCTTCTGAAAGGCGACCGGTTCCTCGGAGACGCGGACTGGGAGATGGTTTGGCGATATCTCCCCGTGTCTACCTCCAAGATGTACTGGCATCGAATAAGGTTGGACACGTGGCTACATCCAACAACACATGGAGATTTATCGGCGATTATTATTGTAGGCGCCTGACTGGCTCTGTATGGGTTCCCCTGACTGGCCGACACCGAAAAGGGACGGGAGGTTGTGTACCTGTATGTGTTGGTTATATGAATGGAGGTCGGCCAAAAGTTGGATCTGCCAGCTGATGTGTTTTGACTTAATGGACGGGAACAGCATTTGGGTTCTCTTTTTCGATTTGGGAAAAAAATGTCGTCGGTTCGTCGTGAGCGCGCGATTCCTGAAGTTTTGGATTTTTCCCGGTATTGGATGCTGCTGTGCTAGGCGACACGTTTGAGAGAATCATATGCATGGCTGTGCTATTGACAAAGACTAGAAGTAGATGATGGCAATGCAACTGCAATTACTCGCGTGCTCACCGGCGTGCCTGGCGTGTACATTTTTAATAGGCACGGCAACATCAACCTCTCCGTGGAAGAAGAGGAAGATATCCACATGATACGGGACGGTATTGTCAACGAGGCCGGTCTTCACGGAGTCTTGGCCTTCAGGTGACTTGTTTTTATCTTTTGCTACTGCTACAGCATGTGCATTTTTGTACATGTCCATGCGTTCCTTGAAGGCGATTTGTTCTCCCACGGGTCGTTTATCCGGGTTCCTTGTTTTTTTGTATTTTAGTTCGCGTTAAGCTTGCTGCTTTGGATGCCTGTAAGGTCGTGTTTGTGCTTGTGGTGTGTTTTGTGTCTTGGTTCTATTTGAACTTTTTTTTTTTTTGTGACGTCACCAGAGAATTCGTTGCACTTGTTTGGATCTTCCGGAACGTTTCGCGCAGTGTTCTGACGCGGCATTCTTGTTAGCTGCTGCAGCCTTCAAACCTTGAACCTTGGCGATGGCCGTTCCAATGTTGCACGGGGCTTCACACAGGGCTCACCAGGTACACAAGTGGTTCACGCGAAGGATTCTGCGTCTCCGCGGAGGGGTGGGCTACTGCGACCTTCCCAGCAGGCTTCGCGTCACCTGGTACACCTACCACAAGGCGAGTTGTCGCTAGGGTATCATAGTACATAGACAGCAGCTGACAAGGACACCGAAGGACACGAGCCTGCCACAACGCGAGTGCTACTGTTAGACTGTAGTAGGCAGGTGGAAGCAGACAAGGACGGTGCGTTGGTGGGTAAACGACAACGACACCGAAGGGCACGGAAGAGTATCTTTCCAATCAATGTGATGGAAGCGTCAGTCTAGCGGTCACGTTTGCTTCTGCCATTACCGTTGGAGATGAGACTTTGATGTCACGGCCGGGAACCCCCCCGCCCTGTCCTCCCCTGGGAAATGAGTTTGAGTCCGGGCTGCGGGCTCTTCGCGCAAGGATGCAGATCTTCTCAATACCAGAGATGCCGTTCATCACTTGTCCCTTCCGCTATTGGGCCAAACGACTACCCAACTTACTCCTCCCGTGGAAACACTAGAAGGGTTTTTCCCAGTTGGTAGGCCACGGTGATTGCACGGTGACGTCATCGCTGTTCGTCCTGCGTTTACTTCGTCGCTAGGGAATCATTTTTTCATGTCTCGCTGCAAGTGAAAGCAAGCACATTAATGTGTGATAGGCATATGCATACATCCGCGGATACACCTTTTTACCCCGCGCTTGTCGCAGTCGGTACACATTTTCTTGATACGTCGCCGAGCCCCCAACACGGTTTTTTGTCACTTCAACACTCGATAACCTACGCCGGTCGGTCAGTTGCGTGAGAGAGTGCCGAGATCGTGTCCGTTCTTCCCCTCAGCGTTTGGCCTTGAGAGTTATTTTGCTTCGATGTAGGTGTATATGTTCCCCCCACAGCAGTGAGCAGGCGAGAGATGAAAAAGACAGGATATGCAGGGAGAACTTTTTTGGGAAAACGACACAACAGGGTATACCCTAGTCGAAAAGCGACACACCTGGGTACACAGTCATTAAACAACAGTAAATGCACTCATATGATTGGGCAGCGCCCAATTTCATCCCGGTGCGTCCGAGAAGGCGCAGGGTATACCCTGCCGTGACTACTTTTCTCGAAAACTGTACCCTGTTTCCGGAAACGTTCCCTGACCTGAGGGTTCTCTTGATCGCGGGACCCGAACTCTATATTTGTTTGGAGCACAACACGCCACAAATATGTCGTCTACGATACGTTACGACACTACGGTGCAAAAAATCGTGTCCCGCTCTCAGACGTCAAATCATGCTATTTTGCCCATAGTGCAGATCCGCAGAACAAAGAAGAGCTGACACCCCAAAGCCCAAAGAGGTATTCCATCCACCAGTTCAACGTGCGTCCCCTTGAGTAGCATTCCGCGATGCTGCAGGCGTCGTCCAGACCGCACGAGAGAGCGGGTACCTTTATCATAACGTCGAAGATCGACGCTTTCCCCCCATCGGCTGATAAGTTTCCGCATCCATCCGAAGATATTGAGTATCATCTCCAGTATCTCTCCGACGTGAATCACTCTATCCTCGTTGAGCTGGGCAGCGTGACACCACGGATTCGTTTATCGTCTACACACGACCGCACGTATACATACCATATACATACCATGGGGTCTTACGTAGACTAAGACCACACACTCCAGTACGTAGGGACCTCGCTGATGCTTCTATGTCGCTGGGAATTTTCCGAAAAGTTTCCACGGGGGCCCCCCTCTACCCCGCTCTCGCTGCAGGTAGAGACCACAAATGCACCCGCCATCGGATCAAACCCTTACCTCGACGGTGGCAATCGAACCCGGGCAATCGCGCTCGACCCCTTGGAAAAGGGATGGAAGACGCGAAATGGCAGCCGCTTCATCCTCATCCTTCTTGGTAGCGGTCGCGATGCGCTTCTTCGCGCGTTGAGATTGCCAGTCGGAGACGGTGAATCCCACGGTCTTGAGAGTTCTTTTGATCGCGGGACCGGCGATATTGGGGTTGGCCCTAACCAACTGGTCCACCAGGGGTTATACGACTGCGGAGCTTGTCCGCCCGCCCCCAGCACAGTCGACGTGCGAGCCCTCTACCTTCGTGATGTTGAAACCACCGCCCTTCTGTTGGCAGCCCTTGACAACCCAACTTGTGCAAGTCTTGCACACAAGGTGGATTTGCCGACTGCCGGCACCCTTTCCGTTCTTCATGGGACGGCCGGTGGCAGCAAGCTCAGCGGCTACGGCGACCTTCGCGGCATGGCGGCTGGAGAATATCTGCCCTGCGGTAACGGGCACTACCGTGGTGGACGAACTCGCCGCCGCCGCTCCTGCGCTGCTGCTCGCTCCCCCTTCCATGATTGATGTCAGGGACGTGTCTGTGTGTGCTGGTCCTGCGTCTCTACTCCGCCCGCTCTGCGCAGCGCCACACATTGGCACATGCATACGCATGTCAACCATGCTGGATCGGTCTCGCTTTCATAGCGTGACCCGTGCATCTCGCATATAGGCTGCGGCAAGCAGTCGTCCACGGGGTATCGTACGCGTGTGTGCATGTTTCCAAACGGAACAATTGTGCTGGGGTATTGCCCGGCCATTGTTGGCTTAGTCTAGAGCGGAAGAGTTGATGGTTGGTGTTGTTTCGCAGGGGCGGAAACTGATTCCTGCCATGGATTCCTGCCATGGTTGTTATTGGGCGGGAATATTCGCCGTTCAGTATCCCATGGTTGGAGGGGAAAATGAGTTGGGAAGATTCCTGCGGGGGAAATAATTGATGAAAGGGTTTCATTTCCCGTCAGGTCAGGGTACATTTCCGACAACAGGGTACAGTTTTTGGGAAAAGTAGTCACAGAAGGGTATATACCCTGCGCCTTTTCGGACGCACCGGGGTGAAATTGGGCGCTGCCCAATCATATGAGTGCATTTACTGCTGTTAATGACTGTACCCAGGTGTGTCGCTTTTCGACCAGGGTATGTATACCCTGTTGTGTCGTTTTCCCACCTTTTTTTTTTGCCATCTTTGGCAAAGTAGTAATGAAACTTATGCCATCAGCAACGATCGGTGGTGTGGGAACAATGCCCCGTTCCCTCGAGGACCGCGTAGTCGATAATCTACAGCAGCAACTACGGAATGAAAAACATGCGTACACCCGTCTGCCGCTCTCTTTGCACTTAGGAGTTGGTAGTTTCCTTCGGATGCATGTTCCACCAAAATCACAACATTAACCCCTTCTTGACGTGTGCTTCTTTTCCCGGAAATTTGCAAAAAACAAACATGAGTACACCCCCCTCCCACTCTCTTGCACTTTGGACTTTCCTGCAGATGCGTGTTCCACCAAAATCACTACAATAACCGGTTTCTTGACGTGTGCTTTTTTCCCCAGAAATTTCACCATTCATCGGCAACAGGAGACGACAACCAGCACCGCAAGGACATGGAGCTTCAACGCCTCAACGCGGAGCCGCGCATGATACTAGAGGCCGAGGCCTGGAGCAACCTCAACGCCGGAGACGATCCAGACACATTGCTCCACCCGAATCAGGTGCGCACGATGTGCGCTTTGTTTATCACGATCTCATCTCTACTTGTTGCTGCTGCTGCTGCTGTTGTCGTCACGAATGATTTTTTTGCCACGCCTGGGACAGCTTGGGAGGCACGCATTGCGTTTTTCACGACCCTATCGATTGCTGCTGTTGTTGTTGTTGTTGTTGTTGTTGTTGTTGTTGTTGTTGTCCTTTTGGTCGTGGTCGTCGTCACTGCTGGTGTTGTGTCATCGTCTTGTTCTTTTGTGCCAAGCGTGGGACAGCGTGGACACACCACGGCGCCCCTTAGCCAAGCCTCGGTGTGTACGAGGCACTATCTCCGAGGTCACTTCTCACGACTGCTGTTGCTTCGTCGACGTTTGTCACGACACACAGTAGTGCAGTGCTCGAAAACGTCGCCTCGTGATGCGCTTGAGGGGGTCAGCGAATCACAAAAATCATGGTGTTGCTACACCCGTTGTGCAAATGGATGAATGTATGTTGAGCCCCCCTTGTCGGTCAACCTCTCAATCTGTTTGGTTGAAGTCATTCCCGTTTGTTTTTCTGTCTGTCTCTTTTCTTTTGTCATGGTATCGTTGTTTCAGACGCCAGTGTCGCACACCCTCCGCAAGCACCTGGACAACGTGGGGATGCTAGGGTTTCAGGACGAGTCGGGGATGATGTCCGACTTCGGGCAGAGGGAGATAGCCAAGCATGCAGCGGGAGCGAAGTCTGGGTACGACGCGATGCAACAGCAGCAGCAGCCATGCACTGCAGCCGTTGTTCACTTGTTTGCCTGTGGCTGATGCTCCTGGTTTACATGTTCTCTTTGTCTTTTCCCGTCGTTGATGACATGTGCGCATGCTTAAAAGAGAAAAACTAGCATTCCATTAAGCACTCATGCGCATGCCTCTGTTGGCTGTGCTGTTTGTCCTGATTCACCTTTTGTTGTTGTGTCCTGTGTAGATGTCTGGCAATCCGCAAGTTGTTCTCTCAATCGCGAGTTTTGTTTTTTTCTCGTGGTTATCGATCGCACGTGATTTTCCCGAAGGACTCTGTTCGGGACTGACCGGGGCGGGGCAGAGGCGCTCCGCATGGTGGAGGGAGTCAACAAGCTGAAGGAAGAGAGACGCCGAGCTCGGGAGGCGGTCGCTAAGGTTCGTTAGCGTCTGTCCCCCCTCCAATCTATCTTTACGGCATGTGGTAGCGGCGCATCGTGGTTGGTCAGAGTCTCTCCCGATTGGCTTCCAAGCCACCAATATTTGTACATGTAGAATGTAGCGTCGTATGGAGTGGTAAGTTGCAGAAAAACATGACTCCAATGGTAACGATACACCAAAAGTAGCGGGAAATACGAGAAAGAACGATGTGTTGCTGAAGAGTCCCCACGGTGTAGTACGTACGTTACGTTCGCACGGAGTGATCAGTAGCAGATGAGTTAAAGCAGCGGGCATCACGCCATGTTGCTGACGAGTACCCAATTCCGTCACCCAAACGAGCTTACCCGCAAACCCAAACTTGCCGAAACGCCGGCCAAAAACCCTCACCTCAGGCGGAGGCTCGGCTATCCCGACTCGACAAAGACATGACCATATCCAGGCACAAGGGGTTGGAGGAAGACATGAAGGAGGTAATGAAACAAGCGAGGGAGGGGGGCATGCTGGGGCACGCCTCCATCCACGGAGGGGCTTGCTTCACCAACAGGAAGGGGACGCCCAGGTGGGGGAAAATGGTGTGTGTTTGGAGAAGGGTTATGATCACAGGGAGGGACGAACCGAAATGAGGCACAGGGGGCCGGAGGTGTTCTATATGTGGTCATCGTCGTCGCTGTTGTTTTTGACAATTTTTTTTTTTTTTGTGTTGTGCTTTTTTGTGATTTTTTGAGTTTAATGTACAACAAGGTGCTTCGCCTTTCGTCACCTCCCCTTGCACGTGCTCGTCGGGGCCTTGAGGCGAAACTGAGACGAAATCCGGGGGCCAGAGGCAAAAAGCTCCCAATATGAACGTTTTAGTTTGTTGTTGTCCACGTCACGAAAAAAAATCCACGACAGAGTTGTCGGCTCAACGGACGAACGATAAGCGTGCACCTGCGGCAAGAGGGTCTCTCTCGATCTCTCGATCTCGATCTCGAGTCAGACCGTCGTACTCTCATCGGCCCGTCGTTTTGTTTGGTGTCGCCTGTGTGTTGATGTTGCGGTTCCGCGTTGCCGACAGCTGGAGATTGTCGAGCGCGCTATAGGCCTGTCCTCCATCGGCCGTTTTATTTTCGATTTAGATACACAAACTTTATTTCTATACTAATTTCAAGTAATTCCACCTTCTTATTCTCCGTCATACAAGCAGCACGGCCGATGGAGGACAGGCCTAGAGCGGCGCTCTAACCCCGCCGGACTGACTGCGTGTGCATAGGGCAACGTTGGCCCCCCACCCCACGTGTGTTCGATTGACTCTTGAACCTTGCACGCCGAAACCTCACTTTTGTCGTGATGCCTCAACCACCTCTCACTTTGTCTTCTCGAGCCTCTCTACATCGGCTCGATCCATGCGCAAGGGGACTTCCTCAAATATCCGTTTGTCTTTGCCCGCTGCTTTTTTTTGTTGTGTTCGGTTTTTCGCCATGACTGTGTGTGCACGCGCGCGGCGGCGGGGACAGCAGCGGCGGGGACAGCAGCCGGCCTTACGGCGGGGGGGATGTCGACGACGAGAAGCGGCCGGAATCAGACGACGATGACGACGACGACAACGACGACGATGACGTGGGAATGCCCATGGACGGCTCAACGCGCGGCAGCAGTAAGGGCGGCGGTGGCGGCGGCGGCGGCAGTAGTTCCTTCCGCAGTGGCAGCGGCCGTTTCAAGAGCAGCGGCGGTAGCTGGGACGTGGGCGGCGATGGAGATGATGGGAGAGGGGGGGAGGAGGAGCAGGGCGAGGAGGAGGAGAAGGAGGAGGAAAAGGGGGGTGTTCATGGGGACGGGCACGAGGTTAAGGCGAAGACGGAGGTCGCGCCGGAGTGGAATCCGTACGAGGACTCGGACGACGACGACGGTGAGCGAAAGCGGCACCATTGCTGCTGCTGTTGGTTGTGATGGTTGTGGCTGCTGTTTGTGTCGGTGTTTTTTTTTTTTCAGGGCAGGTGTACCCAAAGCGACCCTGCTGTTGATGAAAGTTGCGCTGGTCCGATGCTATCTTGTGTTTGTTTTTCAAGCTGGTGCGACCGTAGTCTTTTGGCCCTTGTGTAGCGGGTGGGGGGAAGTGGATTGTACAACAGCAGTCGCAAGATAACACCAGTACACCGGTCGCCCCGGTGGTCTAGTGGGTAGCCTCGCAGCCTGCTGAGGGCCAGGTCATGGGTTCGAGTTCCGGCAGAGTGAGTTTTTTTCTCACTAAATAAATCCTGGTCTAGGATGATAGCGACGCGCTGCAACGCTCGGTTGTTAGTAACCCATAATAGACTTCGTAAGTCGCGAGGGAAGGGACTGCTGTACCCTTATCGCGATAAAAATACCTCAGGCAGGAACCGCAGGAGGGGGTCCAGTCCCCCCCTCTTATGTGGCCCCGGTTGAGTCGTCTAGCTGGTAGAAGTGGAGGATAGGGGCCAGAGGGGCAGACGACAGAGTCCAATGATGGGAAAAAAAGAAAGAAGAAAACTAGTACCGGAAGATACTATTATACGAGGGACAATAATTTATCTTGAGGGGCGGGAACACTCGTCCGCACACCAAGCCCTTGCAAGGTTTCCTGCTTTTCAGGACCACTCCTTAAGAGTGGTAAGATATGGGACATTCCTGGAGTGCCGTACTCGTACATCAGAAGGTGTTTTCCAAGCATATTTCCGTAGCCAGCAACATGGGCCACTCCTGGCAACCACCCACGATCATTCCCACACCGCCGCCTTTTGTTCTCCGTTCCCTCCTTTGCTTTTGTTTTACTTCATTTCTGTCGACGGGTAAGATACGAACAAACCGAGGCTCTCGATGGGGCACCGTCGAAAGCGTTCGCGGGGCGGTCCACCAGGGGGCAGCACAGGTGGGAAAAACACGTCACTCTGGAAACCAGGATGTAGGTGTTATCTTCCCGATAGTGGTAGTGACGCACATGCAACCGGTAAATTTCCAAAACCCTACGAACGAGGCTCTCGGGGTCTGAAGATTATTACAGAAGAAAGATCCTCCGCCTGCTGTGACCAGCCGGGGGATGGCAGCGTGCCCCTGAGGCTCACTCTCACTTTCGACCTAGCACGGCCGACCAAAGTCGGCCACGCTTGGCAAATCCCTCGCTACATTACAGTGAGAGCGAAATGCCTACCGCTGGTGAACGGTTATTCACCACTTCGGGGACCCTTGCTCGCGAACAGAGAAACGAGTATTTCAATTGGCGTTCGACCAAGAACCTGAAAAGAGCACCTGAAAGCAGCAGCTGCAACAGGCGGCATAAAATTTATCCCGCCTGTTGCAGCTGTTCTCAGGTTTTCTTCTCAGGTTCTTGGTCGAACGCCAATGAGAATAGCCGTTTCTCTGTCAGCGAGCAAGGGTCCCTGAAGTGGTGCATGACCGTTCACCAGCGGAGGTATTTCGCTCTTACATTCTCATAACCATCTGTTGAGTCCCACGCGACCTCGGTCAAGACACACCGAATATGCACACGAGCTTCCTTCCATCTCGTGGTGTGTTTTTTTGTGTCCAGTGTGGGAGCGAGGTAAGAAGACAGTTTTGGCTCTATCTAGACCTGCATCTGTGTCCGGCAAGGCTATTTAGGAACGTCGTGAAGGACGATGCTCAAGCCCTTCCCCTTGCACCACCGTTTATTCTTGCGTTGCCTACTATCTGAACTACGACAGACGAAGGGGAAGGAGAAGGGGGGCGAACAGGCGGCTCGGCGATCACGTCCGGAGCCTTGACGATGGGATCCATGTCAGAGGCGAGGGTGCGATTCCTGACGGCAGTCAAGGCTCACTTCACGGCGAGGTACCACCAGGGCTGGCTGTCGTCAATGGGGCTCCGTGTCTTGAAGGTAGGTTATTGGGTTATTCGTTTATTCGTTTAGTTTTGTGTTAACCCCCCCTTACCCTTGCCGGGTGACGAACGACGAGAGACTACAGTCGTTTTGATGTTTTATCTCATGAATGAACGCGCGCGCCCCCGTGTGTGTAGTCTATGTGTATGTGTGCAATGTCTTTCCTGTTAGCATCGACCGCGCCTACCGACTGGCCAACGACAAGACGTCAGTCTCAGCGCGGTTGAAAACACAACATGCTTCTACAGGGCACCATGATGTGTCTCTCTGTGTGTGTTTCTTTAGCTAGCACACTGGCCTTTGAAGCGGAACAATAAACGGTACCAACATCAGGCTGCCCCGACAATGTCGGTGGGGCGGGGCGACGAGGGCTGGTTGACGTTTGCGTACTACCTGCGATGTGCCAGTGGGCTTTTTTTGGTCTTGCTGTGCGAAAACTGGCGGAGGGAAAAATACCATAGCAACCCAACCCGTGGGTGCAGCCCAGGGATGTGATTTCCTTAACGTGCCCCGGGGAGTTGACCTATAACAGGATATGGTTGTATGATAAAGTTGAAGTGCTTGACCTATGCGTATGACATATTTTTTATTGAATAATCAAGTGTCATGTTTGCTTGACCTACGGCATGTTTTTTTGATGAAAATGTTTGAACTATATATATGCATGAGAGATGTTTTTTTTGTGATGGGTGTTTTATGTTTGACCAACAGTATATTTTTCTTGGTTCGGCAGCGTGTCGCGTGGGGTGATCCGTGACACCCGTTTGTTTTTGTGCCGGCAAGAAATTTATCGGGGGTCGATATGTAAGTCTCGTTACGCTATTTTGGAGCGTTTTGTCTTGCCGGGAGAGAGGACAAAAACAAGAACAAGCGTAATCGGAATAGCAATACACCGGGTTGCACGATGATGCTCGCTTGTTTTTTGTTTCCTGCGCGCTCTCTTTTTTTTTTTTTTTTTCGGCCGTTTTTTTTGTCGGTGTCGATACGAAATGAAACCGGCGCGTCTTCCAGGAAAATATGGACTCTCAGCTTGACCACGACGAGCTGGAGATGGACCAGTGGAGCCTCCTCTCCACCGCCTTCCGGCTTCCCACAAGCATGGCGATTCTCCGCAAGATTCCTCTCGTTGGAAAGTGAGAGGCTTAATAGTTTCTGCATGCCGCCTTCTTCATTGTCTTGTGTCATCGCACGGGCGTTCACCCCGTGCTGGCCTGTGTGCACGATCCACTGTATACCGGTTCGCATTTGGCCAACCCTTGGTACTGTTGGCGTACCCCCCGGCCCCCCACCTGCTTGCTTCTTCGCCGGATCCCTCCCCCCGGCTTCCTGGTCCGTTCCTGTGTTGTTGTTGTTGTGAAGTGTACGGCAAATGCACGGTGGTGTGTGCTTTCATGCATTTCGGTCAGCCCCACAGTTTCGACCCGCCCCCGTCCTACACTGGGTGGGACATTGGAGGTGGGCTGAAAGCGGGAAGTGAAGTCGATGGGACAGATGGGCTAGATAGGGAAAAAAACATTTTGAGCCACCCTTGGCAAAAAAGGGAGGACCATCGGTGATCGGTCCTGTGGGAACAATGCTCCGTCCTCTCGAGAGCGCGCGCGGTCAATGGTCTAACATCCACAGGCATGGGAAGCATGAAAGTATGCCCCCCCCCCCCCCCCCCCCCCCCCCCCCCCCCCCCCCCCCCCCCCCCCCCCCCCCCCCCCCCCCC